GAGCTGACCGAGGAGGTGGAGCTGGCCAAGCGCCGCATCGACGAGATCAACAAGGAGCTGAACCAGGTGATGGAGCAGCTCGGGGACGCGCGCATCGACCGCCAGGAGAGCAGCCGGCAGCAGCGCAAGGCCGAGATCATGGACAGCATCAAACGCCTCTACCCCGGCTCCGTGGTGAGGAAAATGCCTGAAACTGAGCCAAAATCATCACAAAAACTGTGCTCAAATAGCCACAAAAACTGTGCCAAAATCAGCCCGAAACCGCATCCAAATCGCTACAAAAACTGCGCCAAAATCGGCCCAAAAATGCCCAAAAAGTGGCTCAAAACCGTGCCTGAATGGCCACAAAAATGTGCCAAAATCGGCCCAAAAATGCCCAAAAACTGGCCCAAAACCACGCCCAAATCGCTACAAAAACTGCACCAAAATTGGCCCAAAAATGCCCAAAAACTGGCCCAAAACTGCGCCCAAATCGGCCCAAAAATGCTCTAAAAACTGACCCAAAACCGCCCCCAAATTGCTATACAAACTGCGCCAAAATTGGCCCAAAAATGTCAAAAAAACCTGACCCAAAACCACGCCCAGATCACCACAAAACCGTGCCCAAATTGGCCCAAAAATGCTCTAAAAACTGACACAAAACTGCGCCCAAATCGCCACAAAAATGCCCTGAAATGTCCCCAGAAATGCCCCAAAAACCACACCCAAATTGCCTCAAAAACTGCCCCAAGAGCTGTCCCAAAATCACCCAAAAACTGCCAAAAATCTATCCCAAAACTGCCTTAAAACTGTCCCAAAACCGCCCTGAAACCGCCCCAAAACGATTTTTTGTTATAAACCCCCAGATTTTTGGGATTGTGTCCCTGCTCCCATTTTTGGGGTCCCTCTCCCCATTTTTGGGGTCCCCGATCCCATTTTTGAGGTCCCTGACCCCATAACTTTTGTCCCCTTTGCAGTACGGCCGCCTGATCTCCCTGTGCCAGCCCCTGCAGAAGAACCTGACCCCATTTCTGATGGCCCCTGACTCATTTTTGGGGTCCCTCTCCCTGTTTTTGGGGTCCCTCTCCCCCTTTTGGGGGTCCCCGATCCCATTTTTGAGGTCCCCGACCCCATAACTCGTATCCCCTTTGCAGTACGGCTGCCTGATCTCCCTGTGCCAGCCCCTGCAGAAGAACCTAATCCCATTTCCAGTGTTCCCACACCCATTTTTGGTGCCCCCTACCCTATTTTTGGGGTCCCTCTCCCCGTTTTTGGGGTCCCCAATCCCATTTTTGAGGTCCCTGACCCCATAACTCGTATCCCCTCCCCACTACAGCCGCCTGATCGACGTGTGCCAGCCCACGTGGATGAACCTGACCCCATTTCTGATGTTCCTGACCCGTTTCTGTTGACTGCTGACACCATTTTTGGCGTCCCCCAACCCATTTTTGGGGTCCCTGATCCCATTTCTGGTGTCTCTGACCCCATAACTTTTGCCCCCTTCGCAGTATGGCCCCCTGATCGACCTGTGCCAGCCCCTGCAGAAGAACCTGATCCCATTTCTAGTGTTGCCACACCCATTTCTGATGTCCCCTGACCCATTTTTGAGGTCACTCTCCCCATTTTTGAGGTTCCTCTCCCCGTTTTTGGGGTCCCCGATCCCATTTCTGGTGTCTCTGGCCCCGTAACTTCTGTCCCCTTTGCAGTACGGCCGCCTGATCGACCTGTGCCAGCCCACGTAGAAGAACCTGATCCCATTTCTGATGCCCCTGACCCCATTTCTGATGTCCCCTGACCCATTTTTGGGGTCCCTCTCCCTGTTTTTGGGGTCCCTCTCCCCCTTTTTGGGGTCCCCGATCCCATTTTTGAGGTCCCTGACCCCATAACTTTTACCCCCTCTGAAGTACGGCCGTCTTATCACCCTGTGCCAGCCCACACAGAAGAACCCAACCCTATGGATGTTGTCCTACACCCATTTTTGGGGTCCCTCTCCCCATTTTCGGGGTCCCTGATCCCATTTTTGAGGTCCCTGACCCCATAACTCGTATCCCCTTTGCAGTACGGCCGCCTGATCGACCTGTGCCAGCCCACACAGAAGAACCCAACCCTATGGATGTTGTCCTACACCCATTT